TCAGGCGCAACGGTGGCTTATTGCCAAGTCAACGGCAGCAGTTATGGAGGACAAGAAATCTGGTAGCGGGCGTTCGAAAGCCTTTGAGGAATTACGTCCCGTATACGTGTACTTAAACGGAAAGCCAGAGACAAAAGAGCGTCCTGATGGACAGTAATTACACGCCGGAATGCAGACGCTTTTACGTAATATTGCTCCAATAAAGAAAATACGTTTTCGACGCTCTATGCGGACGTTAATGCTGTGACGCTCGTTTTATCCCTCATTATGCCGAATTAAATTAACACTTTTCCTTCATTTTCTTTTCATTCTGCGTGACAAGCTAACGATTACGTTCATCTTAGTTCCATCGATCGATTATGAGCCATTTGCAGAATTTATCGGCAGTTTGACATGATCTCTGAACTCTTTCTTATTTTTCTTATTACTATTATAAAGATTGTAAAATTTTGCTTCATAGTGTTTTGTTTACCAAAGATCGAGGTTATTTGGAAAAATTATTCAGAGTTTGATACCATACTTGAATTTTTATGGATTATTAAAACATTCCTCAGTTCGTTTCGATGTTGTCTTGTTTACGAAAGATTAGGATGACCCTTTGGAAGAATCTGAAAAAATGATTGCGAATTAGATATACATAAGTATTCGTTTCGCTCAACGAGTGTCTAACAAAAACAATTATTTTACCACGGACAGCATAACACTCGAAAAATTGGAAACGAACGCAGGAACAATTCCGCAAAAACAATTTTGCCGACAATATGAAAAATATTTAAAAAACCAATCACGATCCACAACAATTAACGAAAACCTGTTCATACAATAAAGACCCTCAATCGAGCCATAAAAATCAATTCATCGCAACAACCGCCAGTACCAGCCATCGTGAAACATTCCACAGAGACCAATCCTTAATTACATTTAGAAACGACCTGGTCCCTCGCCCTGCCACCAAAATTATTACATCAGAGAGCCACAACCACACGAAGACCTTCGATAACCTTATCCTCGAACCCTCGACTCCCTTGTCTCCTTCGACACCGATATTTATTCTCAATTAGTGACCTCGCAGCTGGAACCAGGAGTGAGGACGACGTTCAGCTTGGCGTAGCAATAGCGCGTCGCGTTCCTCGCTGGCAGCAATGCAGTCAGCAATCCATGGCTGTCGATGGCCACGGATGGTCGTCAAAGTGACGACGAAGCCGCGCGAGAGGGTTGTTCGTGAAAGAGGGTTCCTCGACGAGCTGCCACGAGGCTTTGGGGGTGGGTTGGAGCGTGGAAAAGAAGTCGTCGTCGACGTGGTTCGGGCCCGTCCCAAAGAAACGGAGACGACACGGAGAGAGAGCGAGGAGCAGAAAGTTCTGCAGTAATATCTGCAGGAAAGTGGCCGCGAAAAGGACGCGGCGGCAGAGAAAAACGATTGCCAAGAGAGGCGTGTGTATGGTAATGCGAAATAGCCGGCATTATCTCGTCGTAAATCACGTGGAAAGAGGTTTGAAATCTGGAGGCGCTATCATCCGGCCGATTATAAATGCCTTTCTTCTGGGTCCTGGGCTGCTTGAGAAAAATCGCGCGTTAGACTGCTGGATTTTATTTCGCGCTGATTATGCCGAGGTTATCGAGGTGTTCCGATGTATCACGGTACGCGAAACGACGGCACACGCTATGATCTTCGCTGTTTCTTGGGGGTAATGCGGTGTATGCAAATTTCGCCTACCTGCCGGTATAAAGCATCCCGTCTTTAATAATGTAGAAGAAGATTAACCGTAGTTTACATTTCAGTGGTGTCATTTTATTGTGTGCCATGTTTTCGAGTGTCCTGTAATTTAATATTAGAGCCAAAATTGTGTAAAGTGTGCTTATATGTATATTATTGATTTGTTTGGGAAGACTTACAATTTTCGAAAAATGAGGATGATAGAGCAATTTCAATTACGGATTCTTCGTTTTCAGGAAAGTATATTGTACAAGAATTACCCAATGGACGTTTCGGATGAAAATGGTAACTCTAGTGTGAACCCTTTATAGTGTCATGTGACCTGTAAGATATATAGTAGGTTAAAGGCCGGGTTAATCTATGGATTTTTAATTCTCATTTTATTTGTTAACCTTCGCGATATTATACTGCACTGGTGTGCTACTGCAGTGGTATCGAATAGTATTTATGGCAATTATTGGTACTTAATACCGTAATGAGAGGCTATAATCCACTAAAATTTTGGTTTTCACGAACAAACGATTATTTTAATAATATAATTATATAAATTAATATAATTTTATTCTAATAATATGATTGAAGAATTTGATAATATTGGAATATCAATTTTCAAACTAACGGATTACGTACCCGACTTTATTTTCATACCGGTATATCGTGATATTAATATTAAAATCAACGTTAAAATCAATTTTTATCTCGGGGCCTGGGATTATTGGAATTATTGGAATAATCATTTAGTCATGAAAAGTAATAATTGACCTAACGATGAATATATAATCGCGTAGTTCGTTATTTAACGTTTTTATCGGAGTCGATAATTTTTGTATAATACTAAATATTTATGTAACGATTAATATGAATATGCTCGTGCTTACTGCTGCAAACATTAATTGAACTAACGCCCGAAATTATGCACCTACGTTTCGTATTATTTTTTAACATCCTACCATGTAATATCACGATATGGAATAATCCGATTTCGGAGCCTTTGATTACTTGTAAAATGCTTAATTTGTAAGGTAAATGCGATAAATTTATATTATTGATCTAACGTATGCGCACCATTACCAACGAAATTAATAATTCCGAGTATATCGATCAAATTTATGCTGTAACCGTTACGTATCATTCCAGATATGAATATAATTTATAGTTATTTCGCGTAGAAGCCAAAACTATTTGAATTATATGTCGATTATTCGAGATTAAATGCCTGTTCCGAGATGATGGCGAATTATTTATCGATTTGAAAAATGTCACTGAGCTTGCTGGCCAATTATGACACGGGAATGCATCGAGGTAATAAAATATCGCGGTGAACATTTTGTATAATAACTGTAACCGATGTCGCATGACCAGGGCACATAACACTTATCGCGTATTCTTTTATCATTCTTCATGAATATTTCTGTTGTAGGTTAACAAGCCACGCGGACGGAATTTCAACGGCAACCCGCCCATTCAACATCGTCGTTAACCCCTATATTATTAAAGAAAACCGATGCCGTTAATAATTCACATTCTATTAACGAAGTGCAGCATGAAATCGTGCTAGATGAACAAGCGTTTGTAAATCCTTAGCGACTAATGATGCCGCACGAAACTTTAGTAGCTAATCCTCTATAATCGGAATTTTGTTTGCTCCCAAAGGAACCAGATTATGGTCGATTATGGCGTTCTTAAATTAATTTGAAATCTGGATATTAGTAATGGTTATAAATTGGTTAATATCGGTATACTAAGTACTTAATATGCTGTGAAGTATAGTTCGATAAATAAACTAAATAATTATGTTTGCTTCCTAGAGGAATAGATCACGATTTGATGACAAATGAAGAAAATAAAATGAAAAGACGAAAAGGTATAGACCTGTAATTACTATCAAGTATAAAATGTTAACCCGGCATTGTTTGCAATTTGAGAAATTGTGAAAATTAGATCGACATATTAGTACACGATATAGTTGTAACGAAGTTTTAGCTATGATTTTACTTTCAAATTTAATTTGAATATCAAATGGTAAATTGATCCTTTTTTCTCGGAAAGTTTAGTTTCTGATAAATATCCAGGGTTACCCGTAGCATTTTAAATACTTTAGACATTAATTCAGCAGTTTATAAGTTTACTCGTTCCGATGTAATCAGTTTTAGGTAATATGCAAATAAGGAATGGGTAAACATGTGCGTAGGGTACATAGATGGTCGGCTTTAATGTATACACCCAATTACTTTTCAGATTATTAATGAAAAAGGGATACAGATGTTGAGCTGGTTATTTTGCTAAAATTATGATGGCATATAACCTTATGCGACCTCTTCCTCTATTCCAGACTAGTATATTTACCACATACTAAATAGAGCTGGGTATAATAATTGTGAAAAGTATATGTATACTTTATACAAATGTAATTATAGCCTAATCACGGGTTAGAAGAAACAGAAGATAAAATAAGCGTGGGATGATGGCGAAGTAAATTAATTTAGAAACCTCGTTCCAAAGTCCCTTTTCTTTCCAGCCAAGGGAATCTATAAAGGTTCCGTTTCGTGGAAAGGATTAGTTCATATACCGAGCGTGGTTGCTATCGTCCTGGTACTTGTTGCTAACGTAATTAGCATTTACTTGTGTGCAAGAGGTTTTGGAGCAAGTAATCCATCAGTAATACATCAAGCAGCTCATCAGTTAAGCAAAGTAAGCTTCTTATATAATTTCCTATCGTATCTTCTACTCCCACGTATATATAATATATAGCTCCTGCGAGAAGATAACGCTTTAGCTATAAGAAGATTATTACATATTCAAGGAATTTCTATCTTAGCCTTAACTAAGAAATAGGAAACAATTTTCAAACAATTCAAACCCAGACGCTGAACACTGATCATCCATTCCACGTAATCTTTAATTCCCAATAGTTACTTATCTATAGGAATTACAATAATCATTGATTTATTGCCACTAATCATCGCTCTCTAATACCAGATCCATACAATTACGTCAAATAAATCAAAGAAGAGATAAATAACGACAAAATGACTCAGCATGACTAAGGTGGAAACCTCTTGAACACAGACGTAAGAGCTAGAAATTCAGTAGCAATTGAGAACACAGGACGCCACTCATCCAGCGCAGGACATGAAAAGGAACCAAAATACAATTACATAAAATAGATAAAAAGAAAACAATAATAATAAAATGACTAGATTTGGCTAAGGTAAAAATCGATTGGACACAGATGTAAGAACTGGAAATTCAGTAGCAATTAAGAACACAGAACATCACTCACCCAGCGAAGAACATGAGGAGGAACCAAGAGCCGGGAACAGCAACCACGAGTATCGCGTCTTCCGCATGCCTATTACCAGCAAGACGACATGGAATGCACGCCAGTATGAGCAGGTTGCTGATCAAGAATATGAGCTTGGCGGGCTCGTGACTCTGTAAGGTAAATGTGCAAGAGAAACGTCAAAGGTAGCACGTATTCTTGCACGCTTCACGGCCTTCCGCAGAGGAATCGATATACGCCATGGAATTTCGGTACGTGGCAACGCGTTGCGTCGTCAAGCAAACGATCTATATAATTACATAGAGAAATAAGGGATTCCACGGCAGGAAAATGATTTTCAATGGTTTCACGAAGATACTGCTCAGCAACGTTGATACGCGATCGCGATTAATAACTCGCGATACGACCGCATACATCACGTTGTCCTAATTATATCGTACACTCGATGTCTACGCTATCGAACGAGCCAGGCTAATTACGAATTACGTATTCCCCCGTACGAGAATGCTCAATGAGTGGCGCGATTTACGAGTAATTCGGTCGTTAGTGAGAAATTAATTTGCGGACAATGCCCTTCCAGATAAACGATGCAAATTTCTTGTGTTTGGCTTGGCACGCTGTGGGCGAGGATTTGTTTCCATTTTCGTTTTCGAATGCTCATCGTGAGTGAGACTCAGGGAGGGTATTTCGAAACGTTGTCATCTAGAAATAATCATTGCATAAGAATAAAGTAGTAATATAACAGACGTTTTAAAAATAACTGCGAGGATGTTATCAAAACGGCAGCCATTATACAAGATGGAGGAACTTGTTTGCATACCTGTTATATGAATTTATATTACAAACATTAGATACCTTTATCTGAGTGTATTGTTACTTTTTTTACTAACAATTTGATTTGCAGAGATGAATGAACTTTAATATAACCTTATTTATACAGCATGCGTTGAAATGGTTATCACGTAAAATGGCATTTATCACGTATATTTAATAATATAAATACACGTGGCTGATCTAACATGACGTTCTGATATAAGAACACGAGTACACTCGCAAACAGTCAGCAAGAGTTAACAACCTGTTTATCGTCTCACGTCTGCGCCAAAAATATAAACTGTCATAATCCATTCTCGTACAATAGGCGACTCATCGATATCGAAAATAATATCGAAGCAATCGTGACGTTGCGATCGCCAGTATCCCCTCCCTGTTCCCTGCTCGCGAGACAGCAGCGCCTCTAACGGCGCCTTGGTAGAAGCATCGATCATAATACGATGTGCGCTCTACCCAGCAACATCTAAACAAAAAACTCGCGCATCTAGTATTTATCTTGCACAGGCGACGTAATATCTCCTTCCCCCCTGATAATCGCGATGATAACTGCGATTATAACTATGAGCTGTTACACTTCGCCGGGAGTTTGCTCAATCTTCGACAACCGTAACGCGAGATGAAAGATTCAGAACTGCCTGCGTCCGTCGATAGAAGTACAAGATACGAATGCACGAAACAAGGAGTTACACGAGCGTAACTTTCATGGCTGACCTGTCGACGGATGTAGGCAGGAAACAAGATCGCTGGGCGTACCAACTGTTTCATGAACGATAGAAGACCGATGTTGACGATTTCGCCGCCTAGCTGCACCAGAATGTAGCTCAGCACACCCAGCACCGTGATGCACTCCGCGATCGTGCGGCCGACTTCCGTGATTTCTTCCGGCCATTTCAGGAGCGTAGTGTCCGCGTATGAAGGCCTTAGGTATACGGCCAGTGACAGCGACGTCAAATGGAACACCAGGATGATCAACCGCTTCAAGAACTGCAACTTTCATGGGGGCGTATGGTCGTATTTAATCAATTTTTCTTTTGTTTTTAACAGAAAGAGAAGAAAGGAAAATTAAAATAATTTTTTGTATATTTTTAAATAATTAATTAAATAATTAAACATTAATAAACTATTTTGTTTAATTTTTCTTTTTCTGTTTTAGTGGATCGTGGATAAAGGTATTTATGATTCTTTATAGGGTATTTTAAAATTATGGATTGGTAAGATAGTGAGTAGCGCTATAGGAAACGAATTCTATTAGTACAAAAGCTACTTTTAAAGTTTTCTAATTTTTATTTATTTGTTTTTATTATTTCCTATGCTATTATTTATTACTTTTATTATTTTCGATTTATTTTTTATTCTATTATTTAAGGTCAAAGTAAAAGTCGACTCGGATTCAAGACCTATGCCAAGGATATGTTGACAATATAATTTTTTAAACTGAAATACTTCTATCGTTTTCAAGAGACTTGGATAACTTCGTAAAACATACTAATTAAAATTAATCGACGAATATACGACTTTACCTATGGTTACCCAATTTTTATTTGTAAACTCGTAAACAATAAACCAGTAGAAGCATAAATATATCTTTCATTGGGAAGAGTCTAAAACCAATTACTCCAGCAGTAATAAGCGTAATTTTCGTGAAATTATTGTATTACTCCAATTAACAGACACGTGAAATGATATTTGCAAATGCTCAAGTATCACATATTCCTGACTGTCCGTGGAGTTGTTCTAATGACGTGTTACCATCAAATGTGCTTCGTGATTAATTACACTACAACCGTGCTAATCTCTGTGTACAGTATCATGGCATAATTGGTCATTTGACGCTTGTATGCGGTTTAAACGTGGTTGTGATTAGTACTATAAGTGGGATATGTCATGGATGCTGTGCCATTATAATGTTCCTCCGTACTTGTACAGGATGTTCCATTAACTCCATTACAAGTTTCTTGAATGTCCGTGACGATAAATCAATTCATCCTCTACGCGTCGTGCAAACAACGAGCAGCGGCAAACGAAAAGAGAAAAAGCAATGAAAGACAAAACGAAAAAAAAAAGAAAAAACAGGAAATTTCGAACGATCCTCGAGTGGAGTAAATGTCGAAATAAGCGAAAAATCGTGAATGAAATTCGCAGAAAATTTATGTACATTCCGTTGACTCGGGACAACTCTTTTACATCTTTATCGAAAACAATTTTCGAAATAATACACGAAAAATACACGCATCGACGGTCGCGTATAATATTTTTTTCATTTCGATACGTAAAATAGGGTCGGCGATATTTCAATACGGAATTTTCCTTCTTTTTTTTTTTTTTTTATTTTATTTTTTTTCCTGATAAATTCTACGCATTCACAGCGCTTTAACGAGCGAGTTTTAAAAGCCGTATGCAAACAACGGCGAAATTAACCGAAGTAATTAACAAAAGTTTCGAAAACGCGCACGCGGTTGTGATCAACGATTCCATGGCTAAATGGTAGGTTTGCATGGAAAGTTGCACCTTTGATTTCGCCAGAGCCGTTTCAAATTTCACCTTTCCACTCGACGTTACGTTATTTTTCTTACAGCGAAGGATAAAGAACGTAATCTCGATTCCATGAATATATTGGTGTGGAAACTTCGCGCTATGGAGTTAGCAAAATCCACCATACGTTCGTATGTGACCGCTCGCATTTATCTGTACACGGTTTTACGTTAAGCTTAACATTTTTCTATCGTCATTTCACTCGTATCGTTATTTCTGTAACGTATCCGACGTTCAACGCAAATATCGCGATACCTGATGGAGTCAATCTATATGCAAACGCTGGTAATTTTATATAAAATGAATATGTATGAAACTTTCTGCCAATGGAGGCAAAAGTGAAATTTTTTCCGCAGTTAAACATGTACATGGGATTAATCAATTTTTCTGAATTGGATTATTCAATCTTTTCGTTTCGCAAATATTCGAAGTTCGGATAGGAATTAGGGGTTGTAAAGGGTACGAGATGGAACATGTGATAAATAGCATTTGAAAACTTCAGAGACACGTATTGAATTGGATCAATACGAAATTGGAAGAATCTACGTTACTAAATATTTTTATCCTCGCTAACCCGTCAATTTGTCGTGATATTAATTGACAAACTGGTAATCAATATTGAGGAAATTTGCACGATGATTTGGGAAATCTTAATTCCTAATAATCTGATTTTTTTATCCGATGAAATAATCTGAATTTAATCGTATATTATTGCTCAGAAGTATCGAGACACATAAGCAAGTACTTATTTCTAATTACTTTTTAATTACTTCGAATTGCGAAATTGTAAATGAAAGATACCGAAATGACTTTATTCCCTATCATCGCTATAACCGTATATTATAGAATATTTTGAAGTTTCGTAATATTTGTTTTTAAAAGCCAATATGTGATTAAAAAATCTATGAACATTACCGAACTTTGCGAAACTGCTTAATTACTTCGAAAGTTCCGTACATTTTATTTATTTAATTCATAATGCAAAGAAGGAGAAGAAAATATTCTTTAATGTTAACACAAAAATTACTATGATTAATTGAAGCAATAATATCTGAAACTAACAACTACGTCGATTAATCATGTGTTTAACTCCTATGCACTGTTCCTACAGGTTTTCTAATGGATAATTTAAATGCGTGCTATGTTGATTGCATAAAAAAAATAATAAACATTGCTTGTAATCATTAATTTTCCACACATTCATACATCTTAGCACTACCACATAGTACAGCACAGCAGTTTCATAAATCTTATCCCTAATAAAAGTAACTTTATGCACCACGTAAATCCGACTCTTTAGAAAGTCCCTATCCAAATTCTCGGACAAACTTTTCCGTTTAAAGTAAAATACAACTTGTCTGCATTCGTAAGTACCCAAATAAAATAGAATAATCATTGACAGTATAACAGCTATTAATACTTATATCAATACTAAACCTATCATTATGGCGATAAAGCGAGTCGACATGATAGCTGAAATAAACTACTTATAAATCTCAAGAAAAACGGAATAAGAAGGGAGATTAATTATGCAAATATCACTGTAAGAGTCGACAGGATGACTGATAAATGTAGAATATTAAACTGCAATAACACGTTTAAAAAAGAACATAACCGTGGTAGGTTTAGTATGTTAGTACCGTTTAAGTCAATGATACGAGTTATCTCTGAATCCAAAAATAACGTGAAAAGTTTAGATAATACCAGGAAATGTTTCAGGCAGAAATATTATCACGTGTGATCATCAGTACTTTTCAACTATTATCTGAAGCATTTCTCCGCATTACGCTGTGTACAAAAAGTTAAGAAAATTCTTTTACTTATTTTTTCACACCTCGAATTTTCATGAAATTTTCACTCGAATAATCTGAGATGTTACGAACCTATAAATTTCCCATTTGGATTCTATATTTTCTATAACACATCCATGTACAGCCATGTACAGTCACACACATCCATATACAACACAATACTATCAGCCAATATTTTACTATGATTCTTACTATGTACGTATCAATCATTTCTGTAAATACTACTGCAAATTGTTATTACGAATCTCAAATTTTTCTGCAATTTCAAATACTCGAACAATAATACTACCCCTCCATTATTTTCTATTTATAATAAATAAAAGTTTAAATTATTCTTCTGCGTTATTTTTAACTTCCAATCAAATCCCGTTTTATACTAATATTATAGTTCTATATATGCAGGAAGTAACAGTAATCTAAAATAATTTCGTACTATCGTGACTCTCAAAAATTTGTTGGTAGGAGCATCACTGTACCTAACATTTAATTTTAACTAAGTAATCTGTTAATAAGAATAAATATCACTATTAAAATCATCCAAGATGAAACAGAAGAATCGTAACGAAAAACCTTAGAAATCCCAAGACACACTGGTGAATCGCGATCATGGTACTTCCGTTACCATTTACATCCATCATGGCGCGCGTACACAGTTACGATGATAGTGGCCGCAGAGGTGGTTATCAGGAAAAATCTCGAACGCGAGAACCATCGTCGTTTGAATGCGAAATAAATGTAGGCACGATTTAAAAACGTCCGCTCATTAACCCTTTCGTGGCACGAAGGGCCATTGGGGCTGGCGATTATGAGCGCGATCAGTCGGACGTCGACGACCATCGTCGTTCCACGAGATCATTCAGAGATTACCGATATCATGGGGAACGCGGGGCGCTGCCGGCGGCGGTGGTCGATCGAAATAAATCGCGCATGCTATTCAACGTCCCTTGTAAAACCGTGGAAAAGCCTGGAAAACCGTGTCGATGCCACTCGATCGTCCGGCCGTCGAGCACGCGAGTGACAATCGTTTCCGAAGTCACTCGAACATCTACTCGACGTCACTCGATAATCACCGGGATGATTTGAAATGCGCGCGCGCGAGCCACGAAAATTTCCGGCTTGGTGTACGTCGCTCCTTACACGAGCTCGAACAATTAGGACAGCTGACATGCCACGTCCAATTATCGTCGCACGATTATTATTAGGGGTCAACACGTGGGGTGTAAAGAGTGTTTAAGGGGCGAGGATGAATGGTTTTGGCACCGGCTTCATGTCTACTTCCCTTGATGTCTTCAACGATGCAGGAGTTGCATCCACCGTTATTTGTTTATTTATTTATTTAATTTTATTCCTATAATAGGTATATAATTGTGGTGGCATCCCTTCTTTTTCTCAAAAGTCCTCGGTAAAAATCCCTTCGTTTCCCATATATAGAATTTCCAAACTTTCCAACAGTATCCCTAGCAGGACCTGCTAGGCAGTCTTGCTGATGAGTCCATTAGCAGGCTCAGGACGAGAAGCATCCCTTTCCTATTCCTTTCAACCCTTCTAGCACTGCTACCATATCGAGGATACCTGCGACCAATTGACAACAACTGTGGGGAAGGACCCCCTAAAATAATATAAAATAAAAAGAGTAAAGTAGAGAAGGATCTAAGCGACTATGGTGAGTGTGGTATTATTGATATTAATTAATAGGCAAAGCCTCTCGTTCGAAAATTAGTAGAAAATGATTTTAAATACGAGTCGAACGCCAATTAAAAAATTTGGGAATAAAATTTTCGAAAAATTGAGAAGATGGAGTTAATCATCGCGACTTCTGAATAATTCAAGTATCGATATTCAAAGTATTTCTTTTCCTTTGACTTTGTGCCATTTTCGAATCCCGTTATTTTATTTTATTCTATTCTAATAAAGATTGTTCAAATTAGGTATATGAAACTTCGTAAAACGGTAATTGTTTATTTTCTAATATATTTACCGTTTATAAATAAATAAATAAATAAATAAATGTATCAATAAGATATCGATAAACGAGAGATTAAGATAGATTATTCGAATTGATCGATCATCAGAAAATTATTTAAAATATATATTAACTTCTACCTAAATTCATTGCCTGAATTCATATTAGTATACTTACTGATATATTTTAACTGGAACATTGCTTTCTTGTAAATTATATGTGAGAAATTTATCGATATATCGTCCGTAATAAACCACGACGAAGAAACATAAATTTCGCATGATTTTATCATAATTAATACGTTGCACTTTCCTTAATCACTTTTATTCGCCTTATATATCAGTATGAATAATTTATCGGTAGCCGATAGTCACATCTCTATATACCGGGTGTCCTGCACCGAATGGCGATAATTCAGACACTAATTCAAGCACCTAAATACAATAAAAGAAGTCCGCATAAACATGTCCTATTTCATCTCATTTACGAGATATGACGAGCTTTACGTTCTGTCATTTCGCGTTTGATTATGTTCGCGGAAGATGCGCGAATGAATGGTTTGCATTAGAATGCGTCTTTGGAGTGTGCAAATTTTATGCGCTTTATGCACAGTGCCTGGCCATATTTTAGCCAAGTAGCAAGGCAGTCTTTTAGCGATAAAATTCAAATTCAATGTATCAACTTGTTTCACGTTGTATTATATCGGACTTCTATTGCTTCCTAAAATATTGACTACCTCTGACATGCTCATTACGCGAAATCCTGTATAGATCTATGTGTACGAATATTTTATTTCTGACACGAGCATTTTTGCAAGAAATGTCTGTTTCACGACAGAAATGAAATTCGGAAAGAATAACGCAGTTGAGTGCAAAATGGAGAGAGGAGTGTTAGGTCAGGAGCCGGACCTATGCAGAACGTGATAACTGACCTAGATCGTTTTGTCAAACGATTGACAGACTTTTGCATCCGTACGAGATAACGACCCACAACGCAGCACAAATTTGTAAAAACCGTCTGCCAGAGTTACTAATGTATGTGCGTGTACGTGTATGCTCTGACAGTCTGCTGATGTGAACCTGATCGAAGAGGTTCGCGATGAATCAGAGAAGAAACTCGAAAACCTCCGATCTGAATCATTTGTATGCAGGAACTAATAGAATTAACGAAAAGACGGTAAGAGGTAACGGAAAAATTTGGAAGAGAGGAAAGTACGAGGAGATAGAGGATCATAGCGAACGCAGACAAAAATAATTATTTTCCAAGGTATGTATAATTTTCTACCAATTCTGCAGGTTTCTCTCATACTCTGGAAATTCCTAATGGAAACTTGATGCCGGTTAAAATTTTCTAATGCATATTTGATGGCTCCTCGAATCGATAGTTGTACTTGAAGTAAGTCACTGATTAGTCATAATGACAGAGTAAATTTTAATCTATGCACATGTATTACGATACGAGATGACTTTTTAATGCACGGATTATTTTCGCGCATGGAGCAATGAATTTGAAATAGTCTCTAGAGCTACTGCAAAACAAAAAAATAAAATTTATTGCAATAAAATTTCCCATAATTAATTCACACAGTAAATTCGCCGATTATTTTTCCCACGCGATCGAGTGTAAAGACGCTATTAAAAATAACGAAAAAATATATTTAAATCGACACGGAACAAAATGGCCAGAACATATGTACATCAGCAGTAAAATATCAAAAAATATGCGAATTAATAAAATAAATATTCGAATATTCGATATTCAGCCATCCATTATTTCCTACGTTTTAAATTTAAGTATATTCAAAGAGCATCCAAGCAAGTCGACCTTCATTCGTTAGAACAATCCTTTGGGACACGAAAAGGTCACTTAGGTTTCAGAATTTAACTCAACGAAGCACTTAACGTCCCTGGCAAGAAGTACTCGATGGTTACACCGCTAATAAACCTCGTTAAATAAAGGTACAGGATCAAAAGGTCGGAACCAGCGTATCCTCTAATTCAGCGAAAAACACGTTCCGTGCATATCAAGCATCCCACCGGCGAAATATCAATTAAATTCTTCAACCTTGCCAGAGGGTGAAAATTCCTAGCGGAACGGTCTAATGGATACCATTGCTCCTCGGGGCTGGAGGAAGCCTGGTCTAGCTAGAAACCGTGAAAAATGTGCGGAAAGGAGGCGGTAGCGAGAATATTGTCACGTGGACGCACTTACCCGCGCAAAGGTCTTCCATTTTTCCTCGAGTAATCGCTGAATAATACCACCGTCCAGCATGTCCAAGTGCTCCTCCTTCGTACCGTTCAGAATGATAAATAGCGCGGAGTTCCAGTCTGAAATAGAAATTCGGAGAGGACCATTTGCGGTTAATGGAACATCACTTTAGGGTTCTCTCTACGCCGCGATAATTATGGGTTTTGCATTAGGGGCTATATATATTAGATGCACGAGTTTCCCCAGGACGACCGTGGCTGGCTGCAACGGAAGGGGACGATGGCGGCTTTTTCTGTAACCGCACCACGTGCGCTGCTAAACTTTCTTGCATGTAAAGATAAAAGTTTACGTCGGCCCAACCACGGTTCCATGGGCCACGGAAGAATTCCACGGAATCGTTAATCTGTCGACCGAACTTGCCAAAAGTCAGCTAATGTTAGTTCGATGCACAGCTCGGATTTTCGCGCTCGACCCGTGCACGAGGGAACCTCCGTCGTTAGGGGGTGGTTAGCGATCTTTGCGTCACAGTGCCGGTGGATTGCACGGTGAACGTGAACAGTTGCCTGGTGAATGTAAACCTCTCACGGAATTACTCCTTCGCGGATGTGGAAGAAACCGGCCATTCGAAAATAACGGATCTACGCTGATCGTGTACCCTGTCCAGAGTTTATCGACCTCGGGTAGACCAGGTTCCGGCAAAGTCGTTTTAAAATCGAGCTATAAAGAACGCTTTTAATTAACGTTTCTATTTATCACGGAGAGTCAACGAGTTATATTTCGACAAAGTGCCATTCTTTTTGCGCAGTCTCGGAACATTCGCTAACGACGGACAGGCCAAGTACACTTTCACTGGTGAATGCGAACAGATAACAGTGTAATACACGTTCCCTGGAAACTGGCAGCGTTTAGCGGCCATTCGCTTGCAGAGTAACAGACACAGCTCTGTTAATTCAGCTGTTTCGTTACTACCGAGTTTCTTTAAATGTCAGCATCGCATTAACACTTTGACTGCCACGAAATTTTCATACAGTGGGGTCACGACAAAATTTCCTTTATTCCTACGATATAATGAGGAATTGTCAAACAATATCGCGAAAAAAATGTAATATTGCAAATTATTAATGTCTTCTATCTATTTACGTTAAATATATCTAAGGAATGGTTAAAATAGAACAAATATAAATTTAGAAAATTAATATCGGACACTGATGACCAGCATGGCCTCACTGAGAAGGCAAGCACAGGTCACTGATGACCATCATGGCAGTCGACGTGTTAACTTACACGGGTATATCGAGACTGAAAATTGGGACTTATAGATGTTGGTACTTCAGTGAAGAGCTGTAGCTTAACGTATGCGTTTAACTTTCGCTATCATAGAAGTACATAACGATTACGAAATTCAACAAAGTTCCTCAGGAGTTCATCGTTGGAGCAATTTCGTCGATGGTGTTCTAAACAAATATTTTTCGATGCATGCACCTATAAACGGATAGTACCTCGTAAAATCGGGAAAAGATAGACGAGTAGAACGACGAGAATCGGGAACTATGTAACATAAATCTGCTATGTTAACCCTTTGCATTCGAGAGGCAACCCTCAATCGTCATTTAATCAGATTCCAAAGATGTTAATTAATATATCAAATTTAAAATTAGCTAGCGATGCATGGAATGCCTTAATTTGTATACGATTTCTTATTTACCGTTTTGGGATCTTTCTAAATCCCATTGAGATGATATGGGACAGATTAGATAAAAAAATACGAAAGCATCGAATAACTAATAAAACGGACTTGCGAAGAAGGTTAGAAGAAGAATGGCATAATATAGAGGAAGCATATTTAAAAAAGCTTATAGAATCAATGCCAAAGAGACTTTCCAAAGTGGTAAAACGAAAAGGGTACCCTACAAAATATTAACATTGTTAAAATTATTAATTCTTGTAACCTGTGCGAATAATTTTCTGACAGCAATTGATGCATGGAATCGTTTCATCTCATCTTTCTTATAACTACATTTCAAATCTTTCGCTATTGAAAAATCTTTTATTATTTTTCCTATCCTCGATATTCCTATCACTTTCTGCATAATTTCGTGACTCAATGTATTTTTCTGTAACAAAAAAATTTCCGAGTGCAAAGGGTTAATTTATTTTTATAAATCGATACTTGGCAACTTTTCCCTCGTTCCTCCTCTACGGTAGAAATACGTAAAATATTTTTACGAATGATGAAATTATTATCCGACTAAAGCTACAAAGTCGAGGAAAGTTGTACGCTCGAGCCGGCATCGTTACAACGATTTCGTCGATCGCGAAACAAAAGCAGTCTAAAGGGAACGTTGGAGCGTGAAAGATTCGGGAGGGCCGACAAATATCGAACAACGGCCAATGAACTTTTAACCGTGTCATCCGTATTGATTATCGAATTTTGTTCAGCTGACTTCGCCGTGAAATATTAAGCGTTCATCACCGGAAACTTTCGCAAAGTTTCGCGCGTTCATCGATCGGATTCGTTTCGGTCGCGTCAAATTCTTCGAGCGACGCCTCGTCTCGATCGTCTTCCCCTCTCAGACTCTTTAATCAGTCGTCGACCCAAGCAAAGCTGCTTTCACGGTAGCTTAAAGCGTCACGAAAGTTTGCAGTTCCATTGGATATTTTCAAGGAAACGCTTTAACGTTCGCCGCGTCTGTTGTCAATCTCCATTCTTCCCTCTTTCGCACTCCACACCACGGCGGCGACGGCATTGATGGGAACTTCCCCGACAGCTTTTGGCCGGGAAATTGAATTTCAGATGTGCAAGCAAAATTGCAACGAATATCCGCGTCCCCGTCCGATCCGGTCCGAAACTTTTCATTCGGTTCTGCCTCCTACGCCGATCGAATCAATGGCCAGGCTGGCTCTCCAACGACCGAATCTGTCGTCATCGTTCGTCGAATTATATAGAGCCCCCATTGTGAGATTCGATTAACCGAGCATTTAACGGATAGTACGCGAATATTAATTTCACTGGCCACTTTGATGTTCGGTCCGAGCTAAAACGCCATTACGAGAGCGACCAGCTCGATCCACGGTCAAATATCCGTGTGACACTGGTCTCGCTCGATGCTGCCTATGGCATACACGCGAAATCAAACGTTCCGAGACCGATCGACCGTTTTATCGCTACACGTGCTTGGATCCGAAGTTGCTTAGCGACCTCGAATGAAATATCGCAGAAAAAGAAGGAGGACTTTGGAGTAAGTAGACCTGTCAAGGCACCCCGGAGCTGAGAGCATACGAGCACGGATTCTCGGCTCTAGGACCAGAGGAAACCGGTCAGGGCCAGTTTCTGGTGACGCGAGGATACGCTTAGAATATAACATACGAGATGTATTTACCTATCCGTTGCAGTAGCAGCCAAGGAAAGAGTCTCATTCGAGATCTACCAGTGGATTCACGAGTGAGGCATTCTGACAGACCATAGCCTTTCAGACATCGGAATAATGAAGACAAATACGCGAACACGCAAATGTATTTGTACAAAAGAGATATTTAGACGAGGACTGCCAAGAATTATGATTGGACCTGGTCCTTTTCAGAGACCCATGCAGAAAGACAGTGCTTGGAGATATTTTTCGGTATTTGAAACCTCTAACGTGACAGCATCATGACAGATTCTAAACAAATGTATTTGTACAAAAGAGATATTTAGACGACTGCCAGGAATTATGATTGGACCTGGTCCTTTTCAGAGACCCATGCAGAAAGACAGTGCTTGGAGATATTTTTCGGTATTTGAAACCTCTAACGTGACAGCATCATGACAGATTCTAAACAAATGTATTTGTACAAAAGAGATATTTAGACGAGAACTACCAAGAATTATGATTGGACCTGGTTCTTCTCAGAGACCAGTGCACAATGACCGTGCTTATACATATTCTTCGGAATCTGGAACCTCTAACGTGACGGTATCTTGACAGATTCTGGACAAACGCATTTGTATAAAAGAGATATTTAGACGAGGACTGCCAAGAATTATGATTGGACCTGGTCCTTTTCAGAGACCCATGCAGAAAGACAGTGCTTGGAGATATTTTTCGGTATTTGAAACCTCTAACGTGACAGCATCATGACAGATTCTAAACAAATGTATTTGTACAAAAGAGATATTTAGACGAGAACTACCAAGAATTATGATTGGACCTGGTTCTTCTCAGAGACCAGTGCACAATGACCGTGCTTATACATATTCTTCGGAATCTGGAACCTCTAACGTGACGGTATCTTGACAGATTCTAGGCAAATGTATTTGTATAAAAGAGTTATTTATACGAGGACTGCCAAGAATTATGATTCGATCTGGTCCTTCTCAGAGACGAATTTAGAACGACCATGCTTGTATATATTCTTCGGAACCTGAAACCTCTAACATGACCTGCATCAACCGAATGCTCTCAGAACCTTGATGCAGCTTTCCCTAAATCAATCCGAATTTATACAGCTTTCTTCGCAGACTCCGTAGACACGAGGTATCAGCGAGTAAACGCGCTATAATTTTCATGGCAGAATCTTGAATTTCCCAGGATACATCGTGACTGTGTCGAACTGAGCAGTCGAAGTTGGCACACACGACGAACTTACCGGCGGTACGCGGTCGTTACCGCAACTCGTAATTATATCCAACTCCGACCTGGACCTGGGAGAAGTTTTCTCTGCCGGTTCCACGTTCTCTGTCCTCTCTTCGCCAGTGCTGGTCCAGGAGATGAACGACTGGACTCACGGTCGGTCGGTGCCGCAAAAACGGACGTTGAACCTAAGTTGAATAACGATTCGCCTTCGTCGCTATCGCTGATAATCATCCCTAAGTGCTGCGCCCGGATAATTATTAACGTTTTAGCGGAGGTGGTCATCCGTGTTCGCGGTAATCGATTTAAGCTATCTTTCCGAGCTTAATTTCATCGGGGAACATCAAAAGTCGATCGCCGGTGATGTAATAGCGGGGCAGATTATATCAGGAAACCTCTGTCCCTGTGAACGCACACGCCCGATGGATTTTCGTGTCAGGTCGCGTCCGATGGAGACAAAGAGGCGTTAGAAATTTCATCGATCAACTTTATCGCTTTTAGTTGGCCCACTCTGTTCTGGCCCGGCCCCGTCCCGTTTTTTCCCCCGCATGATCGATAATGACGACGCGTGGAGCGAAACATTGCCTCCCCAACGGACTGTACGCCCCTTTTGTTCCCCGTCCCGAGCCTCGTTTCTCTGGTATTCCCTTAGAAATCCTAGTTCCCTTCAACCGAGAAGATTCCTCGAAAGGAGAAAGAAAATACAACAGGGGTGAAAGAGGGTCTCGACGATTTCGTGTCATTGAGAGTCCACGAGGAATTCAACGGAGGGCAACAAAGGCTAGTCGGGAGGTTTTAAGAAAGGAATTAACGCGACTCCTCAAAACTGACTCGTCCGTCTAAAGTCTCTTTTCGAAGCTTTCCCCTCTTCGCCTCGTTTCAGTTTTCCCCTCCAGACGGGCGGTGTGTGGAATAAAAAGCGCGGAAAAGGTCGAACGGAAGCGAAAGGAAGAGGGAAGAAACGTGGAAGAAAAAGGGAGGAAAGTCTGGACTTGGGTTAGCTGACTGGTTTACCCAGCGGACGAACTGGTCTGCTAACTAACTGACGGACCCTAGTTTGGCTTGGCTGGCTGGCTGGCTGGCCTTGGTTCGGAGTAATTAAGCGTACCCGTAGGAAGGAGAGCAAGCCGAAAGTTCACCCCCGCTGATATAGCAACGGCAGGGTCACCCTCCCTCCGCTTCATCCCCATCCGCGACCACCCGTCGACTATGTTCACCTCGACTCAGCTATCGGTGAACCCATCGGATGACATTCACGCCGCGGTGACAAAGACGGGCATGCCTAGGAAACGAAGGAACGCGAAGGGACGAAGCACAGGGTGGCGGTGAGGTTAGGATGCAGAGGAGGGCTGGGTGAAAGGATAATGGATTCCGAAACTAAATGAAACGCGAGCACCCAACTCCGCGTCCGCGGCTAATCTCGAAACTTCGTTAAATGGCCGTAATTGCATCCTGCAACGACCCGCTTTCCCTTGTCTTCCTTCTTACACCGCCTCCACACCCTCTTCGAGGGGTAGCTACGGGCTTCCCGACGTTGCACAATCTTCCGGACGGCATCCCTCTGTCCCTGTCTTCGACGCCTTTCTTCCTCTGCCGCCAATGAATCACTCGAACGTCTAGAAAACTCGACGATCGTGGATACATCCGCTTTGCACGAGTTCGAAGGTGACTCTGGCGCAGGGAGGAGTGGCTGGCAGGGCTGCTCCACAGACTGCCGGAAACTTCGATACAATTTGGCAGAAGTCCGATTGCCAAGCCTCTTTAAATGCAGATCGTGGCAAGGCGACAGGACCTGCCTCCCCGCGTGGTGCGTCTGCTGGAGACGAATTTCATGGAAATTAAACGACCAGCGAGTTCGTCTTCGACGAAATATGATGGTTCGTGTTGGAAGAGATGTGTCGTTTCCCGTTACTACTTGTTTTATCCAAGGAGTCTTCCTTGTTTACTGATGGATTAGATTCTTGCTTTATTGGATTCTATGACTGCTGCTTTCAAATATACTCCGCGATATTAAAACCTGAGAGATCTTCCGGTATCCTAATCTGGGGGTGGGGGTAAAGATATCCATTTCCTTTTTCATTTCATTTCCTTAATTGGGCTAAATTTGTGGACGCAGTGGAGATATGGTCTAGATAAGTTTCGAGAAGTTCTTTTCCAACTGGTTAATAGGATATTGTGGTATTGCGAGCAGTGAAGGATACTAACAAAGGAGATAGTATTAAGAGTGATAGCGGAGCAAATGGGTGTGCGGTCTTACTTCTAAGTGAATGCATGGGAACACTCGACAAGAATAAACGATAACGCAAAAAAATCACTTTGATGGGATATCTATGACTGTATCGATTGATCGAGAAAGGAAACCTGTGTATGAAAAGAGAGTTTTGACTTTAAGTAAGGGTGCAAGGACCAGGGCGAGACGGAATGTGTAGTCGAGACGTAGTGAATAGAGAATCATGTGTTGAGAGAAACCTAATGTAATATTTATTTCAAATAAATCTGTCTTGTTATTAAAAAGGTGTCGTTGGTTAGCAGACGCGCAGATCTATGTCTGCATAGGATTAATCTAGCAGTAATCCTATAATATTTCGAAAGCTGATTGCCCAATTGTCTTCAAATGTAAAGGGAATCTTCAGGAAACCTGTCACCATTACGTAAACAACGTTCTGTTATAAAATATTCGCGTTTACTATTTTTTCCTAAATCGTAAAATATGATAAGCGTGAAAGGAGAGTTAAAAGATGCCATTTTTCTATTTGCCAAGATTTTAACTTTACCAACATTTACCAATTAAAACTCGCAACTAAAACACCTGCATCAACGTCGTGTTCTTCGTTTTCGACTGGAAAAGGAAGAATCTAACCGGACACGCGGCAGCCATCGCCATGGAGAAAATCCTGGTAAGTACCTTAAACATGGCGAGGAAAGGGCAATTTATCCTGGCTTCCATTATCGGCGATATTCAACCGAGCCATCAGTTCCATAAATTAAAGCTGCCGAAGCAGCAACAAATTTCAAACTCTGCCGGAACACTGATTTCGAGGCAGCGGTATTTCCCACGCAGAATCAATCAAGAGGTGTCGATCGGGATCCGAAAAAGGCGGAGCAATTACGGGAGCATTAGCAGGGTACACCCTGTCCTCCTTTGCCGGTGAAAAGAGAAAACGACGTAAGGACGAGTCGGCCTTGGGTCTCGACAATTATACGAAGGCACCGTGACAAAGCGAGTGGCCACTTGGGCGTGTGCTCGGTGAACGACCAACCCCGGACGACGATTCTCGAAAGCGTGTAATTCGATTAGCATTACGACGTACTTGTTCTGCCGTCAGGTAACAGCGTGTCGAGTGCATTCAGGGGGTACGCCGAGCAGGTGATATTACTGTAGCGCCAGAATTCTCGTGCAGACAGTTCCAACATCTCCCGAAAGACCTCTGCGCGACCCAGCTGGCAGGCTAGCGTCAATGGGGTCAGTCCGGCGGCATTCACGATCCCATTGCGAGCAGGAAGCTTCGGATGACGAAGGGCATACCCGAACATGTCCTGCGTTATACAGCCACGCTATTGTACTCGATTTAGCGGAAATCTTTCTCGATGGTCGGGGAAAAATAGAGCGGTCTCTTGTTTAAGAGGCTATTCGTTTGCATTCGGTCGGGGCTATCGATTTTTCTACCTTTTTTTCTTCTCCCTTTTATTTGTCACGAGCTGACAGAGGGTAGAACAGGACAGTGTGCGACGTGGTAACGAAAGTTCGGATATGGAGAACCACGTCGGGGGTTGAAAGTGATGAGCACGTGAAACTGCGATATATAGAAATGAAATTTTTCTTTATTTTTATTTCTCTGAAGGAGGAATTATTAGCTAACTTTTTTGGAATAATTATTTTATTTCGAAGTATGAAAATGAAGCATATCCGTGTTATTCCCAATTTTTCCAATATATTCTGTGAATATAGGAGAACAGTCTGATAGACTTTTGGAACTTTATTAAAAACATGCAATAGAAATATGAAACAACGTGGAATTTATGATTGTGTCATAGGAAGTGAAAATATATCAATAATTAACCTGATCATCTCAAATTAATATCCAATTTGAAATTAGAAATTGAATTTATCACTCTAAAAAATGCACTTTCATCCTGTTCACTTTCAATGAATCATCTTTTCTATCAATTATTTAATGTAGAAATTGTATTATCTAATATAGCAATTTATTTTAATAGCGTAAAATAGGCCCGTCTTGCTTTTAATGAAAATATTATATAATAGGGATAACAAATGAAAAATAAGAAAGTGTAACAGGATTGCGGTTTTAAAATTCTCTATACAAGGTTGTTTCTCGAAGCAGCGAGACAAGGAGCAATTTTTGACCCATTTCCGAACGAATACCCTCTTATTAGAACACCATTATACCGGCTAACCGAGTAAACTGTTTACTCGGTACAAGGGTTACCGATACGCGAAATGAAATTTATGGTGAGTCGATTAATTCGCTTGCTCGTTCGATATACTCCGTCTAATGTCGCGGATGCTAACCCGATTATTTCGTTTAGCCGCATACGAGGGTAATTAACCCCTTACCTCATAACATTTTTATGGCTACAGGTATTAGAGTCAAGTATTCGCTTCCGAAGCACCGGGACTGTATCAAAAATTGCTGAAACGAGACATAACTTCAACTGCAGAAACTAAAGCCATGCTTGCCGATTTTATTTCAAATCCCGGCGAAAATTCATCACCGATATCACGAGTGTTCTCGACGTTATAAGGCAGAGGGGTTGAAGTGGGCAACTTTCGAGGAACTTTAAAATAATAAATAAAATAAACACTCAAAGCGATTTAAGGGCTTTCCGGGCAAAACAATTATGAATTCACGATTTTGCAGGCAGAAAGTGCCGAAAGAACGTGCCACTCCGTTGGGAATAAAGGATCAACGAAGCAATGTTTAAGCAGAGTAGTTGCACGCGAAAATAACGAACGCGTCAATAATTTACCAAAGGACGTGCGGTAAACAACTCACCGATCGCGTGTATTCGAATGTAAATGTATTCAAATGCATGTTAAAAAATAACGAAACAAGAGAGATAAATGGGACTACGTATTAGCCACTATCACAAACCTAACCTTGAATAACAAACGCGTACTAATCTTTCCTTCCTCGTTAGGGCAACGATAATGACTAATTTGCAAGTGCAACGAGACGTGTCTTTCCGTCAAGCTATTTATACAGGTGGAAAATCATCACGCAATGAGAATGAATAAGCGACTAAGCATGAGCTAATCGGGAGTAAAAAGTCACCGGTGCAACCATTCGTTTAAAATAAAAGAGCAGACGCGATAGAAAGAAAGTTAGAGAATTTCAAAGACCAAGAGTACGTACCAATTTATCGCAAACCACGACCATATGCAATATCATGTTTCCAAAAGAGTCCTGCTCGTCGGGATCAGCGCCAGAGTCTAGTAATAAGTTGTAAACGCTCTCGTTTGCACAGCAAGCGGCCCAGGCGAGGGGATACTCTCCCAGATAGGCTAATCCCTCGTAATCCGTATTCTTAGCCGGATTCATTCGCTGCTGGTCCCTAGGCAGGAAAAAGCTGCCTATCGCCCGCTGAGAAATGATGGCGCCAGCCTCCACGAGGTCTTGCACCAGTTCATTATTGTTGTACGCGATCGCGAGATGCAACGCGCTAGCGCCCAGGTATTCCTCGCCCTCGACAACGTCAATGGCCAATCGTGGAAAGCACTTGAGCAGAATACGCGCCACTCGCGTGTGTATCCTGGTATCGCATATAATCAGAACATGCAGGAGAGTCTCTCCCAGCGAGCCTCTGTATTGCATCTGCCAGCATGCCTCGTGATCGTTCCATTGAGCCAAAGGATCGAACCGTGACAAAGAAGCCTCGATGGGCAGCACAACCTGCTCGAGGTCTCTGAATTTCCAACGCAGGTACTCGGCCCGATTGATCACCTGACCCTTCCCGTCCGCGTACATCAGGATACCGAACTGTTCCCTGATCAATTTTTCCACCTCGGCCTGGCCCCCTTGATTGTACGACTCGATCAGCTCGCCACCCTTTTTGTAATTAGCCAGACGATACAATAGACATTGATCCTCGTCGCTTGCTTGACTGATCACGCGATCAAGGATCGAACCGGCGTTCACCTGGCTACCGCGACCTCGACACGAGAAGACACTACCCATTCAGACATCCCTCTTTAGCCCCTTGCGCGTCCTCGAAACGTCTTTCCTCGACGTTTGTCCACTCCGGATCAGCCTTCCTTCGTCTTCCTTCGTTTTTGCCCTCCTCCACTTGGCCCTCGATAGGCCTACGATCTATCACCACGGCTTTATCAACCACCAGACGAGTGGGATCTTCGTCGAGTGTCTTCGGGTATCCTCCAGGACGAGGGTTCTCCCATTTTTCGACAGTTCTATCCGAGTGGACGGGGGCACTTCGCTGTGTGGCTAACCGTGATCGACTAGATACAGCCCTTCAGAGATTCCTTCGGGCCAACGAAAGGTGGCACACAGGTGGAGAACCGTTTTCCAGCTATAGCAACCGACACCCGTGCATGCTGGGTAATCTATAAACAGTGCCTGGCTCCGCTTGACACGGGAGGGTCACTGGGTGAGCCTCAGTTTTCGACTCTGTGTCAAAATTGATTTTTCTGTATTCTGTAAAATTGAACAAATTTATATATAGTATCCTATGCCTGCTCTTTATATAATTGTTGTATTTAGGATTTCATTATTTTTCTCCTTTCTTCTTTTTCTCTCGTGGCTCAGATGTCGTTCCAACGCGGATATTTTCGCGTGTGTGCCGAATATTCGCTCCAGTTTTCCTTCGCTCGACCTTAACACAGATCGTGACGTCTGAATACGCTTTCGCAGATAATTTTAGAGCTCGATTAGGCGTCCACCGAGCGTAAAAGGCTGGACGAGAGTCGCGAGGAATCGCACCGAGGATGGATGCAATCGACAACTTGTGCTTCGATTTTTCTTCCATTGTGTAAATCATGTGCGAAGAGCTGTGGGATTTTTATCCAGGAATTTTTCTATTATAGACAATACTTCGATCAATATTTAATAATAATACTTCGTTTCTCCTTCAAATAATTGTTTAGGTATTCTCTTCGCTTTCATCTATCTATATACGAGAATAACAAATACTATCTAAAGCAAATCTGTTTATCAACGAACGCTACAATGAAATAGGATAAATCGCAATACACTGAATCTAAAAACAAAAATACTGAAATCTAAAATTTTACTCGCGTCCCAATAAGTTACCTCGTTATTTCATTATTTTATAACTAATTATCTATTATTTTATTATTTTATAAATAGTTACCTAGTTATTTTATTATTTTATGACTGATTTTATTAATAATTCAAATTATTTTATTATTTCATCATTATTAGTTCTCTCGTTATTTTATAACTATTGTAACTAATTACCAGTATTAAAACATTCTGCAGAATTTCACTGTCTTTGCTAAAGTTACAAACAACGGGATTAAGAAGTCTGTAAGAAGTTGTGAAAAAATACCGTGTTCTTCTTACTTTCTTCGGTTCAAGGACCCAGAGTTCGCTCCTACGACTCCAAAGGAAACAGGCGAAACCACAATTTAAACAACTGCTTTTACGATCCCGATAACAAGGAGATAACGGCCTAACGAGAGATCTTTCGCAGAAGGAAATGTACAAGAACCAGCAGAGTTATTCTACAGTATGATTCCGTGATTGTATCGTGACGCATCGTCATGATTGGAACCGGAAAACGCCTTTCGGAATCGGCATCCAATAGATGAATAAGAGCACGTGCGAATCATACAAAACTGGAAACAACGAAACAGAGGTGTATACTTAGGTTGATGGAATGGCGCGAGTGTTTGCCTTTTTCAAGGCAAATAATGCATCGTTTACGGGAATACGGTGACGTTACGAATTCACGCGTTCGGGTCGTGTCCTGAACGTGGAAAATTAATCACACGTCGCGAAACGCTTTTTCGCAACGCAGTCGCGTTTCCATGCTCGCGATATATTATATATGTAATATTTTCTTAATACAGGTTCATGAATTTTTAATAACATCGTTACTCACCTTATCGAGGTGTATTAGAAGGCACGATTCAAAATGGGACGAGAACTTCGTGTGGTTAGAGAGATCCGAGTAATTTGGATATTAGAAATCCTTGAAGGAGCGATTCTGTCTTCCTGTTATGATATTTTATCCATAGAAACCAGTAAATTTCTAGTAACACGTCCCTTGGAGATAAATATGGAACCTGTAATGAGAAAATAAATATTTGAGAAAATAAATCAAATTTAGAATAATTAAAGTAATTGAAGATAATTAAAATTTTGAATATTTAGAGAAATTTAAGGAATTAGCATGACATAAATCTAAAAAAAAATGGAACTTTTTTTTCGAGAATTAATTAAAATCTTTGAGGATTTTGAAGAATTTCAATAATAAAGACACGAGAAATATTTTTCGGATTCAGTAATCTAAGAATACTCAAAAATATTCCTATATTTGAATAAACTGCGATGGCCTCCAGGATTTAGAAAATTAAGCTTTAATTAAGTAATTAAATCTATACCATTACTTTTAATAAAATATCTTCAAATATATTTGCATTTTCTAGATCAAAAAATTTGTTAAAGAATACTCAAAAATATTCCTATATTCGAATAAACTGCGATGGCCTCCAGGATTTAGAAAATTAAACTCTAATTAAATAGATCTGTACCATTTATACCAGTTAATATACTATTTAATAACATATTCCTAAATACATCTGTATTTTCTAGAAAATTTCTAGAAGAAATTCGGTAAAGGAAACACGATTGAAGAAAATTAACTGTAATTAAGTCTTCACTATAATCCTCAGTCATATCACAATATAATTTATGCCCCATTATCTGAACATCGATATGAAAAAAGGAAATATTTTATAATAACAATATGCCTGCTATTATTTTGAATAATATATCCTGAAATACACCTGTATTTCCCACAAAATAAAATAATTCCTTAAAGCAAACGAGATTGCAAATTTTCATCGAATTATACAAAATGACCACAGTGCCCGAAATTCTAATTAAATAATTAAGGGCCCTACCCGAGCAGAAGAACACACCCCAATTAAAACATCCATTATTTTATTTCAAAATCCAGTCTCAAATAGAAGTCCAAGAAAAATTGAAGGAACTACGATTTAAAGGAAGCGAGTTAAAACTGTCCTGATCAATTACTAAACCTTATGTCTCGAGCACATTACGCAGTTCAATCCCGAACATTCTGGACACGTCATCGTTCGCAAAAAGACTGTATACATTTGAAGAAAAAAATATATCTATATATACATACATATGTATGTGTTCATATACATATATATGTATGTGTACATATACATAGGTGATGTAATTACGATATTTCCAGCAGTGATGACTCAACAATTGCGTCGTGCAATAGTGCTGGTACCAGCCTTGGAGAAGCACACTTACTGTCATTGCACCATTAACTGATAATGAAGAGCAGCCTGACGACATTATCTAAGAAATATTCAGTTTAACATTCTTCATACGGGCTCGTATCTTGCGTTCTCCGCAAATATTGTATCCTGGTTTTTAATCTGGAAACAAATATTATTCTAAGATTATTTCGAGAACCCCGCGTTATCGTGCAACCTGCTCTTGTAAAATCGCATTTTCTCGCCGATATAATTTTACATCGTATTATAATGTGGATAAAATTGGTGCAATTATCAACACCGTTCGAAATAAGTGACTGAGGGTTTAAAAAAGAAAAGAAGAAAGAAAATTCGATACACCAGCGTTGCTTGTTAGCACAAGTACTGGCAGGTTTCTTAAATATGCTGTAACCTTGTATAAAGTGCTTCTATGTACGCGAAGAACCGAGCATTACGTTTGAATTATTATTCTCGCACAATTTCCTATGCTTATTAACGACTCACACTTGGCTATTTACACCGCAAACATGTAAACACCAGAGAGTAAGTTCTATAGTCAAATTACAGTCTCGTGTAATTTTACACGTATATCGAGACTTCGTAATTCATAAAATATATTCTCACGCGTATATTTAAATATTCTATAATGAATGAATTTTTCTACCATTCTATTTCTAAAGTATATTAAATATTATAAAGTATACTAACGAGTATAATCCTATAAATAAATAAAAAAGGAATTGTTTAATTAAATTAAATAAAAATTTGTTTTTAAACTAGTTTCATACCGTCTTCATACCTTTATATCGACTTACAAAATGCGTATAAATTCTGTAATTAAATATTACAAATTTTGTTTAATTAGACTAATTAATTTTATAATAAAATTCTGAAATGTTTTTAAAAATCGTTATAAATTTTTTGGAAAATATATTTCTCTGTATAATTGTTTTCCTTTTACAAAATTTATTTTATTTCCCATAGATTTTGAAATTTCAGTGCCATTTATTTTATTCCCATAAAATAATTGCACATGTACTCGAAGTAACCTGGAATCTAACCGCGTCGTACTAACGTACTTACATCTGGCACAAAACGCGGCTGCTGGAATCATGTATTGCGTGTAACTAGTTGAACAAAGAGACCCGAATGAATAGTCTTGTGTCAAGCGAATAAATTCAACGTAGGGACGAGACTAATCCTACGAAAATGTCTCCTCTCTTGCTCCGTCAAGTACCACGACTGTAAGAGTGTAACACGCTTATCTATTATTTGTACGTGTATACATTTCCATTCGCAATTATATAAATGATAGAGAAATTCAACTTTGCTAGAGCCACGCATTGATGTTTCGCTAGTTGACGACTATGTCTGTGAAAGAGAAGTGGATCTTGTACGTACACAAAATGGAGAAGGCCTATTCAAACTTTGCTCACAAGTTGTAGTGCTTCAACCTCGTTTAAATGCGAAAAATTGGAATAACGGATTATTTTAATGACCACGATGAACGTTACGATTATTGAAATTAAGACTGCAAATACAGATATCCATCGTCCTCCAACTGAAGCTAATATCGAAAAGTTTATTATTTCTATGGTTCAATGTATTTTATTTTCCGAAAAACTGGAAATAATAATGAGTGCAAAGATTCAAGTAGAAGAATAAGAAAAAAACGATGACAGTAGCAGCAAAGAAAAATAGGCAAAAATTAAAAATAATGATTAAAGTAGAATAAAAGAAAAAATAAAATGTAAAGGAGAATGAAAGAGAGAGTAAAAGAAAAAATAAATAATAATAAATCCCACGAGACAACTTACAAAAACGTATTAATAAATATCAACTTTAAAATTCATAAATAATGAAAATAATGCAATTGACAATCGAAATCTACAATCTGCAATCCATAACAGATAATTGCGTAATACCTTTATAAGATTTGTATTTCCGCCATTTTATTTCGCACCTGGTATGTCAAAATCTGAAAAAAAATTGGCAAAACTATTAAAAAACTGGCATTTTTATGTTATATCGACTAAATATAGCAATCGATAATCGAAATCTATAATCTACAATCGATATCAGGTAATTGCGTAATACCTTTATATGATTTGCATTA